CCCCCCCCCGATATTGACTTTGATGTTCCTCCCAGGGGTGCACGGTAGACTCACCTCCACGTAGTGCATCCTGGGCAACGTATACTCATACGGCAAAAATTATATAAACCGGTAGTTGACTGCTGACTTAAAACTACCATGACCCCACTGTATGCCATATTCCACCACTTTCACAGTACTCATCTTACCTTTTCTCTGCGTTTTTGTCTATCTGTCTCTTTACATCTGTGAATCACTCTTCTTTCCCCTCTCTCTATTTTTCTCACTATGATTCTCCTCCCCTTTGTGAATCCCCAAAGTCAGCTAAAGGGCTAATGATAATTATCAAAACGCCTGTCATTTGAAATAAATTAATTAATTAATTTTCCTCCCCTCAGTAAAGTCCAAAGTGAACTAAAGGGCTAATGATAACTTTCATACAGTCTGTCATTTGATATAAATTCATTTGTCAACAAACCTTGAAGATTTATGAATTCCAGAACCAGAAAAGGAATTCCTAAATTTGGTCTTCATTTGAAGTTAACATAGATGAACCAATGTCCTCGTGAATATAGATATCATGCGTGACTTCATTGTAAAGTTGATCCCTTGAAAATGATTACTCATCCTGTGTCTGGTGTAAGGTCAGAATACTCAGACATTTTAGCCCCCCCATCTTATCACCCAACCCGATTATTTGCATTAATTCTCGCAATTTAAGATGATTCACTTCATTTTCATGAAATTACAAGTGCCGAATGACTTCTGTATAGCTCGTGTTTTCGTGAATATTTTCCACCACTGTTGAAAGCTCTCAAAAAAATAATCTGAATCACTAATTGATATGACCCAAAATTTATGAAAAATACGGATTTTATTGTCATGAAGTGATTAATCATTAGGTAACCAAACGCTCATAACGCCTATTTTCACACCTTTAGTATTTTTATTTTCCATTTCTTTGCAAGGTCATTCACGAAACTCATAAAATTATTTAGACGAACTTGTTATTTATAATATATATGATCACTAATTTAACGACCTTATTCATGAAATTAGAAGTTTATTACATTCCAAAGAAATACTATCAGTACAAGTTTAGTAGTAGTTCATAGTTGACAAAACGTTCTCCTTAAAAAAGGTTTTAAATTGGAATTTCAATCAGATGGATCAGAATTTGGGAGTGTACAACTAAGCTGATCAAAGAAATCACCTCTGCGAGCTGGAACATTCTGGAAAGTACTGAAGTGCATGTGCTAACTTCAATCCAATAAGCAAACGAGTTTAAGCCACCTAGAATACGATTGGTTGTAATCAATCAGTAAGGATGTTGGTAGTTCGCTAAGTGGTAATAAATGCTATTGACGTAGCTGAAATCGATTAATAAGGTCTAGAGACGAGCTCAACTCTGTTGTACCTCTACAGAATTTCTTTCCACTCATTCATTCACAACTGTATTGGGTCTGCTTAATAAATTTTAAGATACGTTGAAAAATGTTTGATAACCCAAATAAAAAAATGTATCATTAAGTATTTTTAAAAATGAAATAGTAATTTTCAGTCTTGGGGTTGAATAGGTGGAAACTAACGTTAATGATTGGACGGCACCTGAAAGTAGTAATTTCTTTTATCCATATCATTCTCCATACGCTCTCTATATGAATATGAGCCAAAACTACTTAAATGGTCAGATTCATGTGGGCCTTGTTAAAATAGAGTTGAAAAAATAAGCGACTTTGAAAGTGAAATTTGGACTAGGTAGAAAGATGGCTGAGGTGATATGGAAGAAGAGGAAAAGCTAAAATTTTTCATTTTTGCACAAGATTCCCAACCTTTCATGTTTTCAAAACAACTATATGCTTCAATTATAAAAGTGAGAAATAAAAATGATACCTAAACTTTCCGTATTGGGTCTGAATAATGAAACAATACTGAATTTTATACCCAAATTTCCTGAATTTCCTGTTGAAAGTACGGAAGGAATGAATTTTATCTACAGAGAAGTAGCCCAAAATTTCATTTTAGTGGCTGATATACAATTTAAATTTGCTCAGAATATGCACATATTTCATTGGTTCACTGAAGGTCAGGCGCTCTTATTGGGTCTTACGTGCAGCGTGCGCATCATCACTTATATATATATATGTATATAACTGTATATGCATATAATAAATGGCATTGGTTGGGCACATACTACGAATTAATTTTTACTTGCAACTCCTAAAGAATACAACTTTACCTACAATAGTGCTTATATTGTGACACCTCTGTGGTGTTGGAGATGTACGTTGGTATAGCCGGTTAAACTTATTACGCATACTGCAATTTTTACAACCACGTGTTAGCGACTCAAGCAAAGCAGATCGCTTATCTGCACTCATATTCAGAACACACTTAACTCAAACTACAGCAGAGCGAAAGATGCCTTTTCGGATGTCTCGAAAATGAGGCGCCTTTTGCTCAAATTTACGGGATGTTACCTCATCAATCGGAGGTAAATAGTTATTCTGTTGCGATTTTAATTCTTCTCTTGGACTCCTCCCCTCAACTTAAAATCATTTTGGCTACCAAAAGGAATCCACCCTCTTCTCACTGTCACCCAGATATTCAGGACTATCTTTATTCCCACAGAATTCAAAGACCCATCAGCTCATGCTGTTTAAGGATAGTGCGACAAAATTGTCGTTCAATTACTGTGATCTTGGCCTCCAAAATTGTGAACCTGTCCCTAATGCAGCCCCGTTTCCATAAAACCAATTCCAGCAATCATCTTCTTGCTTTTATGATTTTCCTCTGTTTGATTACTGAAACCTCCTGTTTGCGTGACATTAGGTCAAAGGTCCTTGAAACTCCCGACGTGAATATTGGAAATAGCCTAAACTTCGAGGAGGAGAGTCAAAAAGTGGATTTTTGTTATGATGCAGAAGGGGAACGACACGGATTATTTTCCAGTTGGCACGACCCTTTAACAGGCTGTCAGTGCTCTTGTCAGTCAGTTGGAAATATTCTTGTCAGTGTGTGCGATGACAACTGTGATAGACAAGCATCAACTGGTGAGGGGGATGTAGATAATCAAGGCTTGCTATCACAGAATGATGAACCCTTCTCCTCTCTCCTCCCCTCCAAACGAAGAACAAACGTCAAACCAAAGGCACAAAATGTTCCAGCAAGGAGTAAGCTTTTATTTTAAGTTGAAAATACCGCTTTTACTCCCTATATGTTCATTTTGTGCTATTTAAAGCTCATTTTGTGGGTGGAGAGAGAGTGTGTGTGAGAGAGCATTCAATACTCAGTTTATCTGATTTAGGTACTAAATGAACTAGATCACTCCTTATTGAGAACCTTTGTGTTCTTGATCTCTAGAAAACATTAATTTTATTTCATTTTATATATTTTTGAGTTTGCGATGCTCTTGAAAAGGAGACAGACATGAATGTCTGTTTCCAAGGTAATGGTACGATTTCTAAGTCCTTAAAAGTACGCATTCAGTATATAGGAGAAGGCTTGATGGCGTCAAAAGTGAATATCCGAAAGTTTAAGTTTTATATTCCATTAGGTGACCTATTGCCTTAACCGTACTTTTAATTACTGGAAGCTTAGAGGTCCTGTCAGCAAAAAAATTTGCAAATTCGTATTAAATGCGCTGTTTCAAACTCTTAACATTTGGAGATTTGGAGATTTAATTTCAAATGCGCACTTCCATCTAGTGATGCTATCGCTCGTCCTTTCTCTCTCTCTAGCGTTTGTGTCTTTTCACACTCTACCTGGGGCTCTACTTTGCTGGAATTGCATGCTTTCCCATGAACCGGAGCAACTCAAAATCTTGACTCATACACTGTTTGTTTGCACATGTGACCTTGATACTAAAACGAAACTCTTGCAAACAGTTCAAAAGCTAAACAAAAATGCACTGCAATTATGCACTTATTTTGAGGGAAATTAGATTGTGTAATCGATTAAATTGTTATAAACAATTGGCAACTTTTGAACTATCATTCCTAAAAAAATTTGTTTATAGTTTATTAGTAAGTTACAAATTCTTTTATTAACCTTTTTATTGCCTGCATTGTTTAGCAAGACAATATGAAATTAAAACAAATGAATCAGCATTTATTATGAAGGCTGTGAACAGCTTTGCCGCAGTTTCGCCTTCATTTAAACAAATAATTCCCCCTTCAAACCTCATGACATCGGGTTTTATTGAGTTTACTGGTCACAATTTCTCCCAATGCTAAAGTTACCATCACGAAAACCGAAACCTCAACTCGTAAGATACGTTGGATGAAGGTGCATGCTTTTGAAAAAAAACACCAATCAACAGGCATCTATTCACACCTTATGATCATATGGGTCTGAAGCTAAGGTGTGGGCGACTTTTTGTCATCCCCTCTTGTTCTTACCTTTGCCCACAATAAAAAAGGTGGTTTTGGTATGAAGTGAATTGACAAACTACGCTTATCGATCAGTGCCTATCTTTGATTTTATTACGACGCACCACAGAACTAAAAGGATGCTTATTAATCATAGGTGGGAGGGGGGTGGGGGATGGGTGTGGGGTGGAAGTTATCAAATTACTTCTTAAGAAGATTGAATAGAGTATAGTTGAGATTACTAATCAAAGCACCAGCGGATTATTCAGCTAAACTTTGGGTTCGTCTGATCTTTGCTTACCTTTCACTCAATATACTTTGCCTCTTTTCTGATTCCTCACTGTTCCAAATCTAAAAAAAATTCCTCATGGGCTCATAGATTCTTGATTGGATTCAGACCTGCAGTGTTTCAAGACAATATAGAAATACAATACACTGAGAAGTTCCCCATGCCAGATCAATGAGCCTGTCACCTCGGTTTTAATGTGCTTGAATCTATTATTCCCACCTCGGTTCTACCATTTTCCTTCCAAACTTTGAAGTAGATGGATTATATTTGCTTAGAGGTGACTAAAGTTCACTCGCACTCTCTTAGTGTACAACTTAGTAGAGTAAAAGAAACTCTCGCAAAAACTTAATTCGCGACAAGATGATAGCGTTTTTACTAGTTAAAATAAATCAATAATCTTTTCATTCGGATTTAAAATCACCTTTTAATTCACTTCTATGCTACTGCAACTTTGAAGTTACTTCATCTTAAAATAATTAAAAGTAACCAATAAAATTTATTTTTTTTAATATAATTTGCGACTTCTAGAATACTATGTAATAGAGAAATCCAACGCACGGTTGTATTTAAAAAAGCAAAATATAATTTTTGTTAATTTTAACAGAAAAATGACGATTGAAATTGGGCCATTTGAAATTCCGCAAATTGTCAAATTTCTAATGGAAATTTTGTGTTATTTTTTGTTAAATCCATTTCATTCTGTTTTTTTTATTCCACGCGTCCATATGATTTTCAACACTTCAATTTTTTTAAACCAACGTGTTTTGTGGAAAAATCTTACTTCACTAATTATCATATTTATTAAATGAACTTCTGATTCATTTAGCTGCAAAAAATGAACAATTTGAAAAAAAGAGATGTGATAAGCCTTAATTATATTGTTTTCAAGGGCATGGATAAAATTTGCTCTCAATGCAATTACCCGTAAAACATGCTTCTTTTATCAGCACAATTTTTTCCCAATAATTTATGGAAAGCAGGTTTGTAGCAATATATATAAACGAATGACTCACTTCATTAATGCTAAAGCTACTCAAATTCTACATGCCATCCACTTCCAATAAGTCCCTGCAGTATCTAGGATACTTCGCTGCGTTTGATCCATTCCAATTAAATTCTCATCTAGATGTCAATTTCACAAGTAAAAAGAGCGCTTAACAATCAACGTCTTACTAAAACTAGGATTCTGAGCTTTCTGAGCGTTTAAATTGCCTATCACTTTTTATTATGAGTTAAACCACTTCCTAAGCTCATTTCTGTAGGGATTATTAGTTGAAGTTTATCATCTCTATTCCCCCTTAATGTTCTTATTCAGAATTTGGGGATTGGGGGGGGGGGGGAGGGGAGGATGGAGTGGGGCTGAATTTGGTAATAATTGCTGACTACTACAAGCTCGTAAGATGAGGTTTTCCTATAAGATAACTACGGCTGTAATCCACCTCAGTAAAGTTGAAATACCGGTACAGAGCTCTCTGCTTGACTTTGCCTGAAGTACTCTTTTATCGATCCCAATGAGGTGAGATGTCCAAATTAGCCCAATTACCACAAATGCGTGTCACTGTCTCTCAATGGATCAAAGACACCACCCTAAGGGAATTAATTTTTTAATTAACAGTAGTTACTTGCCGTGTAGATGTCTCTTCACTGGAGTCCCGTTCTTGGGTCTGGACTTAGATATTTATTTATATCAAATGGTAGGCGTCTTGATGGTTGTCATTAGCCCTTTTGTTGACTTCAGGCTTCACAGAGGGGAAGGAACATCAAATTGAATAAAATCGAGAGGGGGGGGGGTGACAGAAGAGTGTTTCAAAGATGGTAAAAGAGACAGACACAAAGGTAGAAAGGTGAGGTGAGTACTATGGAAGTAATCGAATATGCATATAGTTAGGTGATGGTAGTTTGAAGTGAGAAGTCAACTGCCAGTTAATAGACTTTTTTGCCCTATGAGTACACGTTGCCCAGGGTGCACCACGTGGAGGTAAGTCTATCGCACACCTCAGTCATGAGGATATAGAGACGAAAAATAGCGTAAAGTCTGTAACTAGGTGCAAAAAAGTCAACTTTCACATAGCCCCTCTCAGCGTTCCTTTCCAGACTTGACGACTTTAATTTGCTACTCGCTAATGAACATAGTGCTTGAAAGCCTCCAACCCATTGAGAGCTTGCCAATAAATCAGGTCGTTGGCCCTACGCGCTCAAAGTTGTCACTTTTAGCCTACCCTTCCAATTCTCAGTCCTTCCCACTTTCCTTTTTTCCCATCCCAGACATTTTCTATTGTCTTTTTATTGCAACCTCATATTTTTAGAAGCATTAAAATTTGTGCTTTAAATAAGATGTCAGCCCTCAAGTTATTGGACTTAGAAATCATCGAGGTTCAATAGAAGCAAGAATCGTGACGGCTCTAAGTAATCATCCTTGGAGCTTGATTAAGAGAATATCCTCCATTAATCCACCTGACTAACTTTGTGGCATATCATGTTTCAATGAGAATATGATCTAAGGATCAGCATTCACACAGTATTAAGAAGAGCCTTAAGTCTATTTTGACCAGAGACCCAAGATGTCGTTGTTAAAAGTTGCCAACCATCATGTGCATTTTAAACAAGATCGAGCCAAACGAGTCTCTAGTTAGCTCACTAGATAGTATAAGTTTACAACTCTCTCTCTCTCCCTCTTATATTGCTGATCCGAACACATCAATTTGCAGCCCAGATAAGTGGAGGCGTTCACTTTTCAAGTCTTGCTGTTTATCGATAGTTAGGCACTCGACATCTCAACATTCTAGTGTGGGACGCGTTATCGCTGTGTGCGTCATCGTATGCCTGCATGTCTGCTCGCCAGGATTGGGAGGTGCGGCCGTACAACTCCGTGTGCAGCGACCGTTCCAACAGTGACCAATCATCGACCTCTGTTTAACCTAACCCCCCATCCTGATCATGAGTAGCTCCCTGCGTGTACACTTTATCCGCAACATACTCACTGAATAACCGTGCTCCGTGCTACTCGTCTGTTTCCTTTATAGCTGGGCTATGGTTTAGCTGGTTCTGAGAGTCTTGCTAGATGTAGGAGGAACTGCCATAGAGATTTCTGAGTCAGTCAGGCTTTAATAAAGTAGCAATCCGTTACACTAGCGTTTATTGCCAACATTTTCTTGACTCTCGTGGAATAACATTTAGTTCAAAAAATCGTTCCACTAAAACAAAATGTCATGTCACAGCCTGAAACACCTCAATTAAAAAAACATATTCTCTATTCCTTGCCTTAGAAGAAAAGGTGTGTTTAAAACGTGAACACATCTTACTGACCTCAATTTATGAAATTTATCTAATTTACCTCGGTCNGACAGAAGAGTGTTTCAAAGATGTAAGAGACAAACACAAAGATAGAACAAAAGTGAGGTGAGTACTGTGAAAATATTCGAATATGGAATAGAGTGAGGTGATGGTAGTTTGAATTGAGAAGCCAACTGCCAGTTAATAGACTTTTTTGCCGTATGAATATACGTTGCCCAGGGTGCACCACGTGGAGGT